GACATGTGCCCCCCCCCCCCCCCTTCTGCTTTGTCTTCGTCTTCGTCTTTGGTAGAGAGGGAGAGAGCCAACTGAAAGGGGTGAAAGAGAGAGAGAGATATGAGTTTCTATACTCAAAGCAAAAAATTTTCTATTCTATTGGTAAGGAGGATTGAAGTCAAAACCTCATTAAATCCCTTTATCATTCATGCACGTTTTTTTTTTTGATGTTTTCAAAAATATCATTTTGGATGTTTTCATATTTTAACTTTGTTTTTAAAACAAAACAATTAAAAAAATAAAAATATTCACCAAAGGTATTTTTATTTTTATTTTTTACCATAAAATAAAAACAAAAATAAAAAAAAAACAAAAATCACCGATCAGCAAACACTACCTTATTTTACTCTTTCGTATTTGACGAGGAAACTTATTAAACTCCAACCACCTGATAATAAAGTCAAACCAAACCGCTGTTATACTTGGAGTAGTTAGTATATGATATGAACTAACTATGGTTAAACAACCAGCTATGGTTGAGTGATCGCAACCCTAGTTAGTTAGCCTTAACAAGGTTAGTTAAACTAACCATGGTTAATCGCATATTCGCATCTTTCCAAGTGGTTAGATTTCACAACAAAATAAAGCAAGTTTTATTAGACGTAATAATTAAAAATTAAATAAAAACCTTACACTTGTTTAAACTCTATTCCACACCCCATCTCCGGGCAGCCCCGAGTCCACGATATTTTCACATTCCTGTCCATCGACTAGCTGCCCAAACTGCCCATACTCCCTGTGGAGAAATTACGGGCAACTGTCTCAGTAACACCACACCCAAACACACCACTGAGCTCTCTCTCTCCTTCCTCTCTACTTGTTTCTCTCTCTTCCCTCTGATTATATCTATCTCTCAAGCTTCCTGTCTATAAGATCTCCATCGGACGGTCCAGAATTAATGCAGCCTCTGATCTCCGATTCTTGATGTTTTAGCCTCCGAAGCTCTCAGATCTGGTCTGTTTGAGCTCAGATCTAGCTTCCTGGTAGCCTTTTCTGTCGCTGATTCTCTCAGTTTCTTGATAATTTTAAATTTTGGTTTTATTTTGCTTGATTTGGTTACTTTTTGAGCTTGATCTGAGAGTTGTTCATGGATTTACTGTTCATGATGTGCTCTTTGTTGTTATGTAATATCGTTTGTTTTTGCAAAATTTATACTTGAATTTTTCGAAAATTCCTATTTCCGGCGGGTTTTGACTCGTTTCCCGTCGGATTTTTCTTGTACTTTCCCGGAAAAGCCGCCCGTTGGTTGATTTTAAGCGACGGAAAGTAATATTTTGTCATTTTCTACAAGGAAAACTGTTTTTCAATTTTTAATATTTTTGACAGTCTACTTTTTTGCTCAAATATTTTTAAGTAATTAACGGACGTAGCAGAACAGGTGAATTGGTTTAACGGTCATCTGACGGTTTCTGATATTTTTCTGCAGGTGTTTTTGCAGTGTGCCGTACGAATGGAAACAGCTACACATAACCCTATCGTGCTAACGTGCGCTGGTGAAGCCCTAGTCACCATGCTAATTTCGGCTCTGGTCAAAGCCCGGACTTTGGGTCAATTTAAGGTATAACTTGAAATTTTTTGTGGTTTTCTCCCCCCTACTTTGCGGTGGTTTTGCAAAGCTCTCTCTCAGAATTGAGATTTGCTTTATTTTTTATTTTTTTCTGCTTTATGTGTTGTTTTGCTTTAATTTTTTCTTTGATCTTTATGGTCATGTCTAACGTGCGCCGTTTGGTTTGATTTATTTATGGGGTTTTGAGCACTCGGTGCTAGATTAGTTGGTTTTGCTAGCGTGCGCCGATGGTGTAATTTTGGACTTGTAGGTGTGTTACCAGTTGTTTCCGGTATTTGTTATCTTTTCACTCTCATCACTATTGTCTTATTAGCGTACTTAGCTTTACAGCTAAAATGCGCCTCTTGATTTTACTACAGTCGGTGTTTTATTCTTGGTCTCAGCGTCGTTGCTAATGTGCGCCGGTTGGAGTAGGTAATTTCATAAGGTGGTCGTGTTGGTGGTCTTCGCTAACGTGCGCGCTGGGTCCATATTTAGCGTAGGAATTCCGGGACTGGGTTGGATTAGTGGGATGTGGGCTCATTGGGCATATAAAATATCTTTGTCGTGTCATGAAAGATAGTGAAAGTCAAACTGTGGAAGAAGAATAAATTATTTTGATTTTTTAATTTTAAGATATATGCACGCAACCCATGGACGTATTCAAATTTTGACACGTGTCCGATTAGATCTTGACCCCTTCAGCTTCATCTAGATAATTCGCCCTGTATGGATTGCTACAAGTGGCCACACGTTGGGCCGAAAGTCGGGCCTGGTTCCCTAACCCACGGCCTATCCCACAAGTCACTAATTTTTTTTTTTTGAAGATTTATTATAATATAATATATGAGAGTAATAAATATTTAATGTAACAATATTTTTAACCCAAAAAAAACATATTGTTCTGAGCCAGACGGATCGGGGTGTGTGTGGGCTAGAAGAACCTTTGGTCGAGGCCTTGACTCGAAGCAGTATTGGGTCACTCTTCTGGCCAGGGCCCTACTCCTGCACAATGGTTGGGTAGGCAGGTTGCCCAGTCCATACTCACTCTTAATATGGGTGGGAGTCTCTTAAAACACACCATTAGATATTATATATATTATGAATTCTTCCCCATTGATTAATATTTTAACTATTGAGTTGACATATATCTTCAAGTTAATTTTTGTTGGATAAAATCATATTATCAGATGGATATCTGATATTTAATAGATTTCCATTGTTAATCGATAGTTATTGGATGATATCTGATCGAATCTAACCTTAATCACCATAGATTTTGTCCAAACGCAAAGCTGTTTGTAGACTTACAATTTTTTTTTACACTGAGTCTTACTAACTTTGGGTGGTTCTTTTGTGGTAAAATTACAAAATGAATTGGAATTTGGGGTTAATGGGAGGGAGGGAGACAAAGAATGTCCCTTCACCCTGCCCAATCATAATACATCAGTTGATGGTGGGAGTGACGTGGGACCTTATTGAGTTGTCATGACCTCAAATGGGTGATGGGCGGCACTTTATTATCTTAGAAGATAACTATGTTGCTAAGCAATTTTAGCTATTGTCAAAGTAATGTNTTGGAGTAGGTAATTTCATAAGGTGGTCGTGTTGGTGGTCTTCGCTAACGTGCGCGCTGGGTCCATATTTAGCGTAGGAATTCCGGGACTGGGTTGGATTAGTGGGATGTGGGCTCATTGGGCATATAAAATATCTTTGTCGTGTCATGAAAGATAGTGAAAGTCAAACTGTGGAAGAAGAATAAATTATTTTGATTTTTTAATTTTAAGATATATGCACGCAACCCATGGACGTATTCAAATTTTGACACGTGTCCGATTAGATCTTGACCCCTTCAGCTTCATCTAGATAATTCGCCCTGTATGGATTGCTACAAGTGGCCACACGTTGGGCCGAAAGTCGGGCCTGGTTCCCTAACCCACGGCCTATCCCACAAGTCACTAATTTTTTTTTTTTGAAGATTTATTATAATATAATATATGAGAGTAATAAATATTTAATGTAACAATATTTTTAACCCAAAAAAAACATATTGTTCTGAGCCAGACGGATCGGGGTGTGTGTGGGCTAGAAGAACCTTTGGTCGAGGCCTTGACTCGAAGCAGTATTGGGTCACTCTTCTGGCCAGGGCCCTACTCCTGCACAATGGTTGGGTAGGCAGGTTGCCCAGTCCATACTCACTCTTAATATGGGTGGGAGTCTCTTAAAACACACCATTAGATATTATATATATTATGAATTCTTCCCCATTGATTAATATTTTAACTATTGAGTTGACATATATCTTCAAGTTAATTTTTGTTGGATAAAATCATATTATCAGATGGATATCTGATATTTAATAGATTTCCATTGTTAATCGATAGTTATTGGATGATATCTGATCGAATCTAACCTTAATCACCATAGATTTTGTCCAAACGCAAAGCTGTTTGTAGACTTACAATTTTTTTTTACACTGAGTCTTACTAACTTTGGGTGGTTCTTTTGTGGTAAAATTACAAAATGAATTGGAATTTGGGGTTAATGGGAGGGAGGGAGACAAAGAATGTCCCTTCACCCTGCCCAATCATAATACATCAGTTGATGGTGGGAGTGACGTGGGACCTTATTGAGTTGTCATGACCTCAAATGGGTGATGGGCGGCACTTTATTATCTTAGAAGATAACTATGTTGCTAAGCAATTTTAGCTATTGTCAAAGTAATGTACAACTAGAGAAAATATTCATTAGTCGAAGTTGCTCTGATGTTCAAAAAAAAAAAAGTTGCTCTGATGATATGAGGACCTTTCTATGCTGGCAAGCTGTATTTATTTAACTTCTGACATTGTTTAGATTAGCCCGAAAGTATCTACCTAGCATCTAGGCACTACGACCCATTAATTTTTAGAGTTAAATTCCTTTTGTTTTGATTCTACTTGTCATGTAATAACTAACAACTCTATTAGAAAATAGAATTAGCAACTTTCACACTAATTTTCAAGTTGGTAAGATTATTCGAGTAGTCTCAGTTGGAATAGCCTCTTGTAATCGCACGTGTTAATGGGAAAAATGGTAGAATTTGCCACCGATCTGGAAGGAATAGCTTCTTGTAATAGTAAACGGTCCACATAGCAATTAGATCTTTTGTTCAGGCCTCAGTTCATAGTTTCTCATGCAGGTTTTTATTCAAATGAGAGAATGTGAAAGTACATATGATTATGCCCGTGCAATGTTGGATTATAAACTCTTATTTGGTTTTCAAGTCTTGGTATCGTAAATACGTAATTTATAAAAATCGGTGTTGTCAACCTGGTTTTTTTCTTAAAAAAGGGAATGATCTACTCGTTGGAAATTTGTCTTATTTACGGCCTAAATTCTTCATTCAGTTTCTAATATTTCATTGTATATGATTGATTATTGAAATTTGCATGCTGCTAGCATAGCCTCTTTTGGGGCACGTGGGTGCCATAAGATGTAAGTATCACTGAGGAAAGAAATGCACAGACTCCTTAATCATTAGGAACTAGCATTTGACCCAATGATGTCTGCCGTTTATATTAGGAATCCCATTTATAGATCCTTGGGAGATTGCCATTGCATCAAGAAGATAATACAAAGTGTTCATCTATTTTACAAAAAATGTTTTTTTTGGTACTTCACCTCTTTTATTTTTTATTTTATTTTATTATTTTCGGGTCAAAAATCATTTTCTAATTTTGGAAAGTGAAATAGTTTTCCTTATCATAACCTTATCTTAACATACAAAAGTTTGAACATTGAAGAAGCAATTTCACAAACCAAACAAAAAGGAGAATTATGAGTTTAAAATGATGATTGTCTTGTGGAACTTCCTTTCTTCCCCTGTTTTATGTGACAGAAACTTGACATCCAAACAAGAGAGAGAGAGAGAGAGAGAATATACCCAGAACATGGCACCCACCATCATGAACTGCCTGAGAAATAAGACCATCAGACACACGGTTCCACCTCCCTAGACCAGATCAATTCTTATCTCCACCATCAAAACACATCGAAAAGTGAGTGCCACTGAGATAACTCTTAAACTAAGCTTTCCGAATTGGTAATGTTGGTGTAAAAGAACTTGTGCTATATAGTAGCTCAGAGGTTGGTAAGGAACTCAATTTAGTGTTGGTGATGAAAAACAAAGTCTGAACTTATGAAGATTCAAAATTGTGGTAACTAAGCAAGAAACCAAAATTCCAAATGCTGACTTGTTAATATAGTTTCCATGCAGTGCTACTTGTTTTACCTTGACAGAAATATAATTATATTGGCATTGCTTGCCTACTTACCAAACCTTGTACTACCTATCTAATGTGTCCTTGCCATTCATCTGGTTCCTGCGCCACTGACTTTTGCTTGTATGTTTTTGTGTGTGTGTGCGCGCGCTCGCGCATGTTTTTCTTGTACTTTTCTTCTTTTTTTCTCTCCTGGACATTTCTTGTACTTTTCTTGGTTTGACCTGCGTGATGCACCTTAATAACATGGTTTCAGGAATCCTTTGGGCTACTGACTGATAAACCTATAATCAAAGGACATTGTAACCCACCTCACTCCTCGAAGCCACTAGACGCTGAAGGAGATGACCACAATGACAATGAGGATGAGGATGATGATGCAGATGGCGGGTTTGGTGAAGGCGAGGAGGACTTGTCTTCAGAAGATGGAGGAGAATATGGCAACAACCCCAACAACAATAAGAGTAACTCAAAGAAGGGTCCAGGAGGGGCAGAACAGAACGGGGAAGATGAAGAAGACGACGGGGATGACCAAGATGACGATGACGATGACGATGACGACGATGATGATGATGACGACGATGATTGTGGGGATGATGGCGAGGAAGAAGTAGTTGAGGAAGAAGAGGAGGAAGATGAAGAGGAAGACGAGGAGGAAGAGGAACTCCAGCCCCCAAAGAAGCGCAAGAAGTAAAATAGGAGAACAGTGGAACCTCCTCAAAAACTGTATGTTGCTTATTTCTAACTTTATGCCTTGAGGAGGCCTATTTAGGTTGATGTTTTTCGAGGATTATGGCATTTACTGTTGTAAGTTGAGTACTTCGTTAGAACTTGAGAGCTGCAACGATGTTACCGTTAAGAAACTGTGATCTGATATTATAAATTTGGCCACGTTAACTACGACCCTTAGTTTTTGCAATTGCTTACAAATTCATTGAAATGCTTGCTGTTATTACTTACAAATAGGCCGGTCTATGACTCAGATTTGAACCTGATCTTGTTATGTCCCTCGTCCTATCTTTTTTTAGCAGGTCCTAATCCAATCTGACAAGGTATCTATAATATAAAACAGGGTAGACTTTAATAAGTTCATTCAACGGTCTTAAATAAACTCGTCAAATGGTCACCAATGATTCTTATTAAAACTATTCATATTGTACCGTGCTTTCAGTCACGGATTATCTCTAGTTCTTTCAATATAATACGATTCATTTATACATGAATTTGCAAAAGGAGACCCAAACCTAAATTTGTTATCATTTTTAGACACGGTAAGTGATCCCAAATCACAATAATTGTATTCTAGCATATTGGTTCACATTAAATCCATGGATGCAGATTTCTTGTTCGTTTTTCTGTAAAAACACTGCTCCAGTTCTATTCATTCACAGATAAATATATGGATCACACTCAGCATGGAGAAGCATACATAATCCTCTAGGACTGCTAGCCCAGTCTAGTGGAAGTGACTGGTTCAAAAATTCCGATGCAACCCAAGGAGCTGGTTTGTTTGAGGTACGAGGTGTGTGGACAAAGTTCAGATTCAGAGTTACAGATTGACGGATATAAAGGTCTTTATTTTTTTGTAAACACATTAATAGACTATTATTACGCAAATCCAACACGTATTAGAGGGCCAGGGCTATCTTTAGCCTAAGAGGGAGAAGGGAAGGCAGATTAGCAATCCCTAGTCTTCCATAAATAATATTGGACTTATCTTTCCTCTTCTTTGAAAATGATGAATCATGGGCGGAACAATAATGTAATGCCCCAAAATTCATAATGAAGACATTAATTATCTATGAATCATCTAAACTATGAGAGTATACTAAAATAACTATTAAATAATAAAATAGAGATTTGGCGAGAGGACAACAATCGTACACTTTTTAGGCTAGAGATCCAACTTGAATATTTTTAAGGTGAGAGATCCATAAAATATGATGGACTAGGCCCAAGGGTCCAACTCAATTTATAAGCCTAACATAAATAAAGAGTCTAACTAGACGACAGGGTCCAACCCAAAAGAGGTCCACGCCCGATTAGGCTTATCAGGGTTCGAGGAGTTTCATCACCAAGAAGTAAGCAAGGCCATCCCAGGAACCTCATCGCCACCTTGGAAAAAGTCAATTGTGTCATCCTTTGACCTGATCTTCAGGGAAGCTCCGTAACCGCCTCAGCCGTTGAGAAGATGATGCTACCTCCTCCAAATTGGCTACGTAGTTACTGAAAAGGCGCCTCAGTCTGTTAAGAGGCACTATAAATTGTAAGCTCTGCCAATACTTGGGAGACATCGAGCACATCTGCTATCACTCTCATTTCTCTCATATCTTGTACCTCTTTTGCTCTCCCCTGCTACACCAAGCCATTCTAGCCCTTCATAGCGGAGCAGGTCACGTTGACTGAACTACTCTACATCTTTGTCTTGCTTGCGTCACTCGCTCTACTTAATTACTGCATTAATTATTAATAACTCGACCGGTGGTACATAAAACTAATTTGTGCATCATCAATTAGGCGTAGTCTGTGGAAAACGACAAAGTTCTCACCAAATCACCTTTTTTCCTGTACCTATGACAATCACCACTAGATCCATGAATCAACCCGAAGACAATCCACCATGTGAGGAGGAGACTGCCCCTCCACCAAATAATCTTGTTCCAAATGCACAGCAGATGCTGGAAACAATGCAACAACTCGTAACTCAGAATCAGCAAATCCTGCAGTTGAGGCTCGATGGACAACAAGGAGGTGCGCAGTCAAGAGGATATCAAGCTAGAGGAGCTCCTCGCCCTGGGTGTCAAGGAGTTCCCCACTTGGGCGCCCCCTACAGGGGAGCTCCTTATCAGAACCATAAAGGAGCTCCACCTCCTCCTCCAACTCCCTTTTCTCACTGTGGATATCCTCATTTCCAAGAGGATGAGGGCGAGTATCAAAGCGTCGAGCATGGGAGCCATTTCCATGACAATTCCAAAAGAGCTCCCAATCACTGGGATGAAAAAATCAAAGAAGTACATAATCAACTAGACGACATCTTCAATGCCATGAAGGCGCAAGGATTAGAGACTGTGGATTACCTCGTAAGGCGAACTAACACACCTTTTGTGCCAGATGTGGCAAACTACACACTTCCCCAAAAATTCAAAATGTCATTTGTAGAAACATTTGACGGCACAAAAGACCTATTGGATCACCTCAAAACTTATAAGTCCTTAGTGCAGTTGCATAATGTTCCTGACGAAATCATGTGTAGGGCATTCCCGACTACCTTGAAAAGGTCTGCCCGACAGGGGTTCGCCAAGCTCATCCCAACCTCTATTGGCTCATTTGCCAAACTCAGTAGGTCCTTTGTTTCACACTTCATTAGAGGATGTCGCCACCAGAAGCCTATTACCTACCTACTCAGCATAAACCAAGATCGAGACGAGAGGCTCATGAGTTACCTCACTCGTTTTAACAAAGGAGGTCCTCCAGATTGAGGAACCTGATGACAAGGTCACCATGACCACCTTCCTAGGAGGCCTCCGATCATCGAGCTTCCTTGTCTCAGTGATGAAGCGACCATCGAAGAGTATGCCAGAACTGTTGGTAAAAGCCCAAAAATATATGAATGCTGAGGACATCACCAAGGCTAGGCGAGGTGAATCCTCACGAACAGGGGAGAAGAGAAAGGAAAGAGACAGAGAATACAAGAAGGAGAGTGGAAACAAACGAGATAGGATGGAAAGGGTGTCTGCCAAAGATCGCCTTGGTCTTGCCTCTCAAAGGGAGCGACAAATCTTCATTCCCCTCAACGGCACTATCGGGCACATCCTATTCCAAAGGATGACCTCGCAATAAAGTGACTTGGAAGAATAAAATCTCTACCAAACTGCAGGAATTCGAACAAGTATTGTCGCTTCCATAGCGATTATGTCCATGACACTGAAGATTGTTTTGAACTCAAAAGACAGATTGAGTAGCTCATACAACGTGGCCAACTACGCCTGTATGTTGCAGGTAGGGGCCAAGCGCCGCCACCACCTCATAACCAGGAGGATCAACAACCTCTTAGAGAGATTCACACCATCTTTGGAGGGCTCGCAGGAGGAGGAGAATCCCTCTCAGCCATGAAAGCCCATGCCAGAAATGCTAGACACCTTGACGATCTACGCCCGTCCAAGACACCCAAGCAAGGAAATGGCGAGGTCATATCCTTTTTATACAGGGACCTGGAAGGGATTCAACACCCCTACGACAACCCACTAGTGCTGACTATGATCGTTGCCAACTTTCAAGTGCGAAGGATTCTCGTAGATAGTAATTGCTCTACGGATATCTTATTCGTAGAAGCCTATGACAAGCTCCACCTTGGGAGAGAAAGGCTACAACCTATCAGGTTGCCCCTTGTTGGATTTTTAGGAGAGAAAGTATATCACTTAGGATCAATCACCTTGCCAGTCACAGCCTGCGTTGCACCTTAAAGCTCCACGGTCATGGTAAATGTTTTGGTGATAGACTACCGTTAGCCTACAATGTCATCCTAGGGCGACCCGCTCTTAACACCTTATGAGTCGTGCCCTCCACTTATCATATTATCGAATGGAATCAAAGAGGTTCGGGGAGATCAGGTTGCTACAAGAGAATGCTACGTTTCCTCCATGAAGACCAGGAAGCCACAAGAAGCCCTACAAGTGAAAGTACTCAACCCTAGAGATGATGCCACATTGGATAGAGGAGAATCAGTGGAGGAGCTCACACCAGTGGTCCTGGATGAGAAGTTTCCAGACAAAAGGGTGTACATTGGCTCCTCCTTTCCTGAGGATTTAGCCTAATAACTCACAAATTTTTTGAGGCTCAATATGGATGTGTTTGTGTGGTCGCACGAGGACCTTGAGGGCATCGATCCTGAGGCCGCCACACACCGCCTCAATGTCGATCATCATTACAAGCCCGTTCCCCAAAAACTGAGGAGCATCTCCACTGAGAGGGTGCAAACAATGGATAAGGAGGTGAGAAAGTTAATAGAAAATGGGGCAATTAGAGAAGTTGCCTACCCATTTTGGCTGTCAAATGTAGTGACGGTGACTAAAGCCAATGGAAAATGGCGCCTCTGCGTCAACTTCACCGAACTCAACAAGGCGTGCCCTAAAGACAACTACTCGTTGCCATGAATCGACATTCTCATCGACGCCACTGCAGGCCACGAACTACTCATTTTTTTGGATATATACTTTGGGTATAACCAAATCATTATGTATCCACCAGACTAGGAAAGGACATCTTTCATCACTCTAAAGGGAACCTACTGCTATAGGATCATGTCTTTTGGGCTGAAAAATACGGGAGTAACTTACCAACGGCTGGTGAATAAGATGTTACAATCACAGATCGAAAGGACAATGGAGGTGTATGTAGATGACATGTTGGTGAAGAGCCTCGCCGCAACAAACCACGTAGACCACCTTCAAGAAACATTCAATGTTCTCAGGTCATATCACATTAAACTGAACCCAGAGAAGTGCGTTTTTAGCATCGGATCAGGAAAGTTCTTGGGTTTTATGGTCAACCAAAAGGGAATTAAGGTGAATCTAGACAAGATAAAAGTCATCCTGGATATGAGATCACCCCCCACAACCAAGGAGCTCCAACGCCTCAATGGGAGAATTGCAGCCCGCAACAGATTCATTTCCAAGTCTGTAGATAAGTGCTTACCTTTCTTCAAAACTCTTCGAATAGCCTTCGAGTGGGGACATGACACAGAGGAAGCCTTTGAAAAGTTAAAAGCTTATTTGGCTATGGCCTCGCTCCTTTCACATGCCACACCAGGTGAAACTTTGTACTTGTATCCCTCTACTTTCTCATCGGTAGTAAGCTCTGTCCTCATTAGGGACATCAAAGGAGTGCAAAAGCCTATTTATTACGTGAACAAGGCATATCGAGGAGCAGAGATAAGATATAGGGCTAGAAAAGTTGGCACTCGCCTTGATCTCAACAATAAGGCGTCTACGACATTATTTCCAGAGTCACACCATCGTCGTCGTCACGGACTAGCCTTTAAAGAGTGTCTTGGGAAAGCTAGATGTCTCTAGAAGACTCCTGAAGTGGGTAGTTGAGTTGGGCAAGTTCAATGTACAGTACCAACCAAGGGCAACCATTAAAGCATAAACATTGGCAAACTTCGTTGTCGAGCTCACACCGGCGGAAGAAGAGTGTAGTGAACCTTTGACATCTTTACTAGACATCCAGAAAGCCTCATCAGGATTCCAACCAGAGACCTAGGCATCCTAGGAAAATGCCTTAGCCACCCAGACGCCTAGCCCTGGCGCCCAAGGCAGGCGTCCAGCTGCCACCATAGTCTCCAACGCTCCCTCTTTGTCACCTCCCTAGAAGCTTTATGTTGATGACTATTTGACCAGGGAAGGAGGTGGAACAGGTCTAATACTGATCAGTCCCGATGGCATTTCACTCAAGTATGCCATAAAAGCTTCATTTTACAGCCTCCAACAATGAAGCATAATATGAAGCCCTTCTCTCTGGCTTAAGGTTGGCAATTGAAATGGAAGCCCAACACCTCATCATTTATAGTGACTCTCAGTTAATAGTCAACCAAGTGAAGGGCGAGTTCAAAGCAAACAAAACTAAAATGCAGGAATACCTTGCTATAGTGCAAGCCTTGCTGACTAAGTTCCATAACTTCCAAATCCATCATATCCCAAGGGAAGACAATATTGCTGCAGATGCACTAGCCAGACTCGCCTCATATTCTGAAGTCCCACAAGGACCAGCATTCATCGGTCACCAGTTTCAACCAGGTAGGCTAGACGTGGAAATCACTAACATCAATTGCACATCTGCTAAGTCGAACTGGATGACCCCAATAAGGGCATACCTGTAGGAGGGCGCGTTGCCAGACAACCCGTTGGAAGCCAAGACGCTCAGGATGAGAGCCCCTAAGTTCACCATCTTGCAAGACATCCTGTACAAAAAGGGCTACTCCCTTCCATTACTACGCTGCTTCTCCCCAGAGGAAGCTAACTATGCTCAATGAGAAATCCATGAAGGAATCTATGGAAACCATTCTGGGGGACATCCACTCGCCCACAATCAGGCAGGGTTACTTTTGGCCTACCATGGTTAGAGACGCTTAGGAATTTACCAGGAAATACAACAAGTGCCAATGCTTCGCCATTGTGCCCAAGAAGCCACCAAAAGAACTGACAACCATTACAACTCCATGACCTTTTTCCAAATGGGGCATTGACACCTTGGGCCCTTTGTCTCTGAGTAGGGGGCAGTGCAAGTTCAGGGTAGTAGCCATCGACTACTTCACAAAATGGGCGGAGGCAGAGCCCTTAGAAAAAGTCATAGACGCAAAGGTCAAGGATTTCATCTGAAAAAACCTAGTCTGTCGCTTTGGAGTACCCCATGCCATAATCAGTGACAACACCAAGCAATTTGAAAACAGGCAACTAAACTCGTTCTGCATCGACCTCCAGATAAGGCAATCTCATTCCAGTCCAGCGCACCCGCAGGCAAACAGACAGGCAGAGATCACGGTCAGAACAATACTACACAACCTAAAGACAAGGCTAAAAAAAGCAAAGGGCCTCTGGGTGGACGAACTTCTGGGTGTATTATGGGCCTACTGAACGACGCCAAGGACCCCGACTGGAGAAACTCCTTTCTCACTCGCCTTTGGAATTGAGGTAGTCATACCTTTGAAAATCAGGGTACATTTTCTAAGGGTGCAACACCACGACCCCATCCCCAATGAGGAAGGACTCCGTATCAACCTCGACTTGGTGGAGGAGAAAAGAGAAATGGCTATGGTCCGAAATATGAAGTACAAGTGTCGTATGATGAGATACTACAACTCGAGGGTAAAACCTCGTTCCTTCCAACTAGAAGACTTAGTCCTCGAGAAAGTAATCATCGCCACGAAGGCTTTGCGAGAAGGGAAGTTTGGACTAAACTAGAAGGACCCTACCTCATAACAGAAGTAGTGAGGCCAAACACCTACAGGATCCAGAATTTTGAAGGAAATGTTTTACCCCATCCATGGAATATTGAACATCTAAAAACGTACTACCAATGACAATTGAGGAGGGCAAAAGTAATAAAGATAGGGGCTTGATTTTATTTTTTTGTACCTTTTATGGGTTATTACCTATCATTGCTTAGAATAAGTAGTCATCAAATAAAATTTTCTAAAATTTACTTCAAAAAGTTCTTTGCATCCCTGCATTCTATTTCAAGTGAACATTAGTGGTGAAAAGTCACTTTTACAAAAGAAGGCTACACACTGCCTTTCTACATACAAAAAAAAAATCAAAAGTCCCCAACAGTCTAACTGTTCTCATGGTCATCGTCGTCCTTTTCTTCATCCTCTGCATCGTCAGAGTCACCATCAACATCATCAGGCACCTCATACGACACAAAGTCTAAAAATTCAATATCAGAGAAAGTAATAGAGATTTTTCCCCGAAGCTCCTCATATCCATCTATGAAGACATCTACAAGGCTACTCTCTGAATTAGTCTTAGCCTTGGCGGCCCTTTCATGAGCCAATCACAGATCCGCCTTAGCCTGGAAAACTCCCTCGTGAGCTGTCTTCAACTCTGCTTCCACTTTCAAGTAGGTAACCTCACCATCCACCTCGATCTTATCAGCCTTCTCACGGGTCGCAACAAGCTTTACCTCAAGCTTAGCGGCCCTCTCATAGGTCACCACAAGCTTTGCTTCAGCCCTCGAGCAAGCAGTCTCTCTGAGCTCGCGGGTCGCCACAACCTCAGCCTGGGAAGCCCTACCATCAGCCTCAAGCTCAGCAATCCTTCCTGGAGTAGCAAGAAGCTCCTTTTTTACAGCCTGATGAGCAAGCCTCTTCCCTTGACAGTTGAGCTCAGTTGGCTAAACTGGACAGCCCTCGAAAAAAGGCATATAGAAGCAGCTGAAACCTGAAGAGGATAAAATGATGTTAGTACCTAAGGGAAAGATAAGAGTAAGGGAGAAAACAGACCCTTACCTGGGCCAAGCCTTCCAGAGCAGTGTCAATGATACCCTCAGTGCCCCGAGCACCAACCATACTTATGTCTGCAGGAAACACAAATCTCCCAAGTTGCTCCCTAACAATTCGCACCTCATCCATCATGGAGACAGTCTGAGTGGCTGCCTTTGTAAAAGCCCCCGTAGGAGGAGTTAATGAACGGGGGCAGGAGTTATAGCTGCTCAGGGAGTCTCTAGAGTGACGACCACCTCTGAAGGAGTCACTAACTAGGGAGGTACCACATAAGGCGTCATCTGAGAGGGGCTTGCCAGAGTATCGCTCACCCTTGCCACCTTAGGGGGGGGATTACTCCTAGTGGAATAACGGGACTCCATCTCTGTCCTATCCACTACAAGAGGGATAAAGTGTTATCTTGAAGAAAAACTAAGTAAAGAAAGGAAATCCATGGGAATCATCATACATTTTCTCTTCAATGAGGAACCGATAGGCCTTGGAGAGGGTGCACCAGCCCTAGCACTTCCAGCAGGGGAATCTCTAGCTCCATCCTCTTTGAGCATGAGGGTCCCAAATCCCTTCACATAATGAGCCTTCACAGTTTGCAACTTTCATTCTTGGTCTTTCGAGAGCACCAGGGAGCCTAGAAGGAATGTGATAATTAAACATTTACAAAAGGACGAAGGAACAAGAATAAGAGTGGGCCTACTAATTTTCTTGGGAGTGTCCTGTCTTGCTGGTACCAAAGCTCTGTCAGCCTCTGAAGCTCACTCTCTAACAAAAATAAAGCGGGTCTTCCAGCTGTGGCATTTAGAACGTAGTCTGGTAATCAGTTTTCCTCTCCTCCGAGCAAAATAATAACAGTCGCGATTGGGAGTAGGAGTCTCACTCAGAGTGTAAGCCGGACAAAATTCTTTAGCAGAAGCATCCTCATGATGCACCTTTCTCCACAATGCTAGGAATTCTAGTAAAACTCTCCAACTGTTGGGTGTCACTGCCCTGGCGCAAGTGAAAAATAATGAAAAATGTGACAAATAGAAAAAGGTATTGGGAACCTCAGCCCAGCCTCAAACACCTTCTCATAAATGACAATGTCTCCGTATGATTCATCACAAGTAGGCTCACTCATTTCAGCTCGATGACACAGTACCGTTGGAAGAATGTTATAAGTGGAAACAACTCTTAGGATATCAACATCAGTGTTGAGGGTACTAGAAATGATACTTATTTTAGCTTCGTTGTCATCAAGAGCCACCTTTCCTCGACTTTTGCTATTGCGAGGGCGAGAAACATTGCCTGGGCCATTTCTAGGAGACCTTTGAGGGATCTGACTCCGTGGAGTTCCACCTGAATGAACCATACCATCCGTCGTTTGACTAGAATCATTGCCACCAAAAACATTAGTATTCCCCGGTGTACTTCACTCCGAAGCTCTGTGCCCAAGCTCCCTAGCTTCATGCCCATCCTCTTCCGTCATGCCTGGTTCGCCCAACGTTGATGCCTCTGCATCCAGTGCTACCCGCTCTCGCCCTAGCCCCGTCGTCACTGCTTGTGCACCCATCTGGCTACGCATAGTGCAGAGAAGCGCTACTGGCTCGCTCACCACTACCCGTGGGCTCCATTATCTGTGCCCAATTGACCTTGACATGCCTGAGGACTCTTGGAACAACGCCCGAGGTGCCCCGCCTGAAGCCATTCATGGCACCCCGCTTGAGGCCTCCCTTGGTGCCCCGTCGCCTAAGGCAATCCTTGGTGGGGCTGCCCATGGCGCCTCACCCGAGGTTGTGCATGGCACCTCACCTAAGGTCGCACATGGCGCCTTGGATGAGGCTGCCCATCGCGCCTTATCGGTTGCGCAAGGCTCCTCGGCTGAGGACCCCCATGGCATCTTGCCAGTGCCTCTCCTCTCCACTTCTTCTTTGGAGACATGAACCTGCCTCCTGACCTTGATTCCCTTGATGGCCCCTACCTCGCTGGCATTTGTCTGTGCGCCGGTTCATCGCTGATTGTTTGGTCCTTGCTTACTTCCTTTTCAATGGCAATGGATCCTTGCATCTCCTTCAATCGACATTGCCCTCTGAACACTCCACTCAAGAACCTCCCCTCTTGCCTTTGTTGTTGAAGAATCTCACGAAGGAGCTTTGTCAAGATCTTATGAAAAGGAAATAAAGGAAAAAACCCCTATCTATGACTTAGGGTTGTTCTAGAATCCAATTAGGAAATAAAGTGGGGGAAGCTTATATAGTTGAAGGTGTCCTAGTGAGATATATCAGGAAGGAAAAGAGTCGTCAGTCAAAAGGAGTATCTGTCAGTCAGAATCCAAATTCAATTAAATGCTCTATTCTCCAAGTTTTATTAGACTCAGGACATTGGGGGGCAAATGATGGGCCAGACCCAAGGGTCTAACTCAAGTTATAAGTCCAGCATGAATAAAGAGTCCAACTAGACGATAGGATCCAAGCCAAAAGAGGTCCACGCCCGGTCAGGCTCACCATGGTTCGAGGGGCTACATCACCAAGGAGTAAACAAGGCCATCCCAAAAACCTCGTTGCCACCTTGGAAAAGTCAACTGTGTCATCCTTTGACTTGATCTTCAGGAGAGCTCTATAATCGCCTCAGCCATTGAGAAGATGATGCCAACTCTTCCAAATTAGCTACTTAGTTACTGAAAAGGCACCTCAGTCTGTTAAGAGACACTGTAAATTGAAAGCTCCGCCAATACTTGGGGGGCATCGAGCACATCTACTATCATTCTCTTCTCTCTTATTGGTTGTACCTCCTTTGTTCTCCCCTGATCTCCTTATTCTACTCGAAGTAATAAAGCACCAGACCATCCTAGCCCTTCATAGTGGAGTATGTCACGTTGACCGAACCATTCTACATCTTTGTCTTTCTTACGTCACTCTTTCTCTACTTAATTATTGCGTTAATTCTTAATCACTCGACCAGTGGTGCATACAACCAATATGTGCATCATCAAAATATACATTTGACAAAATTCCCTTAATGAAGGAGGTTATTTAAAAACTTCTACCATATCACATTTTTATATTTATTACCACTATCATCATTATCCCTCCGTCCAATGCAATTGCCACTGCCACCCCCCACTTCCCACCCTCACCACCACCCACCATCTTTCAACACCTCCACCCAACACCAACACTATCTGATGTTAGTGGACCAAGGGGTACAGGGCCCACCCTGATTTTTTTTTTTTTTTTTAAATTATTGCCTATATATTTCTAAATTTTTTTGGTATATTTCATGGCGCCCACCGTATACATAACTAACTATGAGTTTTTGAGTACACTTTATATTTTACGGACATGTCTAAACAAATTTTTGATATGTCGAATTAAATTTTTTAAGGTATGAAAATTGTGAGGATTAAGTTACATAATCAAAAGAGTGAATTGATTATTTGTATAGAGAAATATATTCTGCATAGAATGGATAATGAATTTATCATACAACGTCTTTAAAGTATGAAAACTCATCGAAATCAATTGTAAATAAGTATAATTAGTCTCTTTTCATTTTTTTGTGGGGTACATTCTATGCATGTTGAATTATTTTGTATCTAATAAATGTTTGAGTATCAAATATAATATAATATATTTAAATGTATTATGTTACTTATATCAAGTGAAAAAATTTATTTGAAGTGCCCATTCTAAACAAAATTTATGACTCCACCATTGATGCCCACCTACTACCGCCAAAAACCACCATCACCCACCACGCTGCCCACCACTACTGCCGAACACCACCCACACCCACCATACACAATCGCTGCCCAACACCACCCACAAACACCCACTGCCACTATTACTTGCCACCGACCACCACCATCACCCACCACTACCTGCTACCACTATTACCCACCACCACCACTACACCATTAGTGATGCCCTAAACTCCAGGGGTCCTTTCTCAACCTGTTGATCACCCATCAACCTGCAGAAATACGAGTAAATATCGTATAACTCAATACCATGTCATTACACCCTATTCATGGGGATCATAACTAAAATGGAATTTGGGCAGAGTCTCCTTTGTACGGAGCTCTATCCAATACGTAACATGTTCATACAATAATCATACGACAATTTCAAGGTCCATATCCCAAAGTATAGGCTTAATATTTAGTCGATTACATCATCCAAATGCAAGAGCTAAAAATGTGAAGGCTCGACAAGGTTGAATTTAAAATTTCAAGTTTTTGAAAGAGGTACCGGTACTTGAACCTTCTGTTTGCTAGGTACTAGTACCTATAAGTGTTGATATCGGTACCTAGGCCCATTATTTGTGAGGTACCTGTACCTATGAGGATAAATATCGATACTTAAGCCCACTGTCCATCAGGGTATCAACACTTATGAGTCTAGGAACCAGTACTTGAGCTCTCCGGATGTTAGGTACCTTTGAGGTACTAATACCTAGAGCCCAAATTTTTTTAAATTTCTCAAAAACTTAAATTTTTGCTACACAACTCATACAACACACATTTCATTCATTTGTTTCACAAAAATAATGTCCAAGAGTGTCTCATTACATGTTTTTGTGAAAATATTACTTTTGTACATGATTTATACAAAGCCAAAACGAAATTACATAACTGATTACAAAATGTAATTTAAGAGCCACAATTCGGCTCCGTCATCAACACTAGCTCAAGTGAGGCCGTTCCCTGAAGCTTGTCCAATACCTAAAATATATCCCCATAAAGGGTGAGCCATGCTCAATAGGGTATCTCTGAATGACGTTACTCTCCAAGCTGGATGCATATGAACTGTCACATGTAATTCATCATATCAAACATTCATTCAAATACATACATGTTATAAATGAATGCTACAATTCCATGCCATGTCATGAGGTGAAACCCATGCATGCAATGCAAACCCGGGCCCTCCATCGACTCCCATAACACATGTCATTTGATGTTGGACATCCAATGACCATGTTATAAAATCTTGTGTCTTTCTTAGAGTGTGTATTTATAGATTTTCACCAACGAACATCCAACTAACACGACATTTATGGACTTCCACCAATGGTTCCGCATACACCGACACACTTTATAGACTCAGTACCAATGAAAGTGCGTATCCAAAATTACTGGGTCTTGCACCTGAGGGAGAATCTAGCCCTTCTTACTAATCCTGACACTTATTTTCAATGCAACCTGTGCGACTCAGTTGAACCTAGGTATAATTTTTTCGAGCCCATGTATCAACACACCAAGGATGGTGTTTGATAAAAAACATGCACACACACCCACACTCATTTCGAATGCCCACGAATGTGATGTTACTCATGCATATGCAAATGTAATGTGCAATTACATTTCATATAATTATGCAATCAAATCGTACAATTGCAATTTCTATCTCATGCTCATCATATCATACGACATATAATGAACATATCCATTATCCATAATCATACCCAATTTCCTCAATTCCAATTATGTCATAAAGTATATAATAACATTTCATAATATCTCTAAGCATATTATAGCATTTTTCATTCAAATAGCTCATTTGAACATCCATAGACATTTATCAAACACCTATAAAGTACGAATGTAAACACAAAGCATGCCTAAATAACACATTCTTCATGAAACCCATATCAAGAAATTTCATCAAACCCAAATCATAGAAGAATTGGTTTGAACATATTCTTATGCCCATTTTCCATATTTCAAAAATCCTAGGTATTTGTTATCATAAGAATTCATCTCTAACACTCTGCCCATTTCATATTTTATCCTTAGGTGGGAAATAAACCTAATTAGAAAAAGAACCCTACCTCTTGTAGTGTATACATGTGTAGAAGAAATACCAAAGATTCTAAATCAAGCTTCCAAAGCTTTATCCTAAAATTATCATCCTTGAGATTTGGGCAAAACTCATTATATTTGGTATGATTTTGTAGTTTTTGTTGCGTAAAACAACTTTAATTCTTGGCCTGAAGCAATCCGATGGTTGGATCGTTGTAGATCAAAGGAAGAAGGTTGGGAGAACTTGAGTTTATCTCTCTCTCTCTCTCTCTTCCAAAAATTGGCTGAAGAAAATGGGAAATAAATCTGATTTTCTTCCCATTTTTATACTCTTCAAACACTTGACCCTTATTGCGCCACATGTCTTATTTTGATTGGTCCAATTTTATCATAAATCAATTAAATCTCGTCCTGTGTTAAATTTAGTACATTTTTATTGAACTAACTTTAAATTATTTCTTGATTTTTGTAAATAAAATTTGATCACGTTTATTTTAATCGCTTCGTAAAACATAAAAAATCTAACTGTCTTAAAATTCAATGAAAATTGAATGGGTACTTAGATTTCGTGGTACGAATTCCACGGTGAGGTTCGTTTCATCATCTGAGTTCTAAAAAAATTTGGGTTTTCACATCGTAATGGCTAATTACCTTTTTAATAAAGTTTTAATTGCTCTATGAACCTTAAGGTCTTGTTTGTGCGATTAAAAATGGTTAGCTTCGATCAAGCATTACTAGTGAAATTAAGATAGTGAAATCAAAAACAATGAACTAAAAGAAGTGAACTTGTCTAGATTTACATTTAAATAAGTATAGTATGGTGAAAGGCTTCCTATTTCTCCAAAAGAAAGACACTAAACTCAAAGATAGTTAATAAAAATAACAACAAAAAATGCAAAGCTTAGAAACTTAAATTCTTTATTCCGCCTTTTCGCAAAACATGGGGTGAAATTTGCAGCAACTACAGTAGTCAACAGAATTCCATTAAAGAATTGATACAACACCACATTCTTTTGTATATACTCCATGAATTGAGCTCTAAAATTATCCAAAAAGAAATACCAAAAATTTGAAATTACCATAAGTCAGGAATCAATAAAAAAAAGAATAGAGTTTTGGATTATATACAAATCAGAAATTTGCAATATATGTGTGTAGCTTAGAGAGAGAGGAAAGAGAGAGAGAGGATGGGTCCTATCACTAGCTTAACCGCTAACACCCATAAGCTTGTGAGAATCAAGAATCATGATTTTGTCATTGTTGGATTTATAGACCAGTATATTGTGAACAACTGATGACACTACTAGAGCAAAAGCCTTGCGCACCAATCCGAATAAAGTCTCCATTTTTTGTGGGTTTT